GCGCCCCACCGCGCGCTGCTCGGGGCCCAGGCGGCGGCCCCTCGGGAGCGGCCAAGCGGGCGCCGGTCTACCTAGGCTCGCGGCATGAAGGGCGCGCGCGCCCTTGACAGAAGCGCGCCTGGCGGGAAAATGTCTCTCCTTTGGTGTGTTTTGGAGCACTGGGGTCGGGGCAGCCACCGGGGGCCCCGTGCCCGGCTTCTCCGGGGAGCCTTCGGAGCCTTCCAGCGCTGCTTCCTGCCTTCGAGATGGCCGACGGACAGGGGCGAGGCGGGACGGAGGCCGAGGGGCCTGCAGTGTGGAGATGGGCAGAGGGGTCGGAAAGGTGGCGCTTTTCCAGCCCTTTCAGGGCAGAATCCTGGCGTCAACCCCCTCGCCCCATTTGCTGAGTAAAAAGTTCTTATGCACTTGTCGGGGTTTTTGGAATTACTGGTACTGTACATAAACCGGGGACTTACAAAAACGGGGCGGGGGGGAGGAGAGAAGCTTTATTTCCCCGCTCTCTGTTTTAATTTTATTCTTTGGAAGTGCAACTGACAGGGCTGGGGCGAGACGTGTTTTGTAGGAGCTACAAAGCAGCCGATCGCGTTCCCGAATGCGAGCTGAAGCGCAAAGTACCTAAAACCCGGCTGTTTTGGCACAGGAGACCAACAGACAGAAGTCCCGCCAGGAGCTCTCTCCCTCCTTGTCTGTAAAAAAATTAATGACAATAAATTAAGCCACTATTTGCTGCCTTGAGGTGGCCTGTGTCATTCCGCCTCCTGGCACAGCTAGCACTGTCTCCTGATTTCAGTGGAACTTGTGCCTTGGATCAGTGAAAAGCAGCTATGAAAGTATTAACAAACTCTACCTAGCCCTTACTCCTAGCTGCATCATGGATCTTGCCATCTATTTGCAGGCTGCATTTTACTTGCCAAGGAAACTTATTCCCACACGACTGTGAAAAGGAATGAAGCCTAAGGCTGCGGTCCAGTACATAATTCCTTGGGCGCAAATCCTCTTCAAATCAGCAGGGCTTCCTACAGAGTGGACATATTTAGGATTGCCCTATGAAGAATGTGAACAGCAACCTTGCATTCTAAGTAACCTGCCTAGGATTCCTGTTTAGTCTTCTTTCTGTCCAACTTGCTGGCCATCCATCATCTCCTACTGTAGGAAATCTCACTCCCATAAAGTTGGGTTAATATTCTGTTTGTTCACTTGTGTGTTCTCTGCTTCTTCAGGTAGGCATGCTTGTTGCTCCACGTCCATATGGTCACTATTTGGGAATGCAGGACGTAGTAGAGGAGGCTGTTTTGCACAATGTCTGTGGATGAATTACAGGGTTTTAAAAAAGCAGTTGTCTTACATTCCACCCCCAGGATCCCTGGATGCCTCACCCTGTAAAAATATATAGAGAGAGACCATAGACAAACATGTGCACATACACAACCACCAGGAAAGACAGTATAACCACATAAGAAAAGAACAACAAAACCAGCAAGAGATAGAAGAGTCACATAAAAACCAGACACCGGTAGTTTAGAAAAGAATACGATTTCAATGTCGGATCGTTGTCACCTGTCACCAAAGTGATAGCTAGTTAAGCACCAGGGCAAGCATCCCTGGAGTTAATATTTCATAACTGGGTGACAGGAGAAAAGGTATTTTTTGTTATTACTGACTGCACTTCTGAGAGAGCTGGTACGTGAAAGAGCCTCCAAAGATAACCTTCAGGCATGAATAGATTTGTGTGGAGTCCTAGGCAGTCCTTTGTTGTGTTTTTGAAGTCCTACTCCTGTTGTGTGCGTGGGTGCAATGCTACACAGTCCTTGTTATACAAACATACATTTCCTTGTCATTTGCCCTTTTCAGTATGGGATGATGGCATTTGCTAGAAAGGGAGCATAAGTTTGGAGCAGCCTGATGTGCCACCCTCTGTGCATCTACATCTATTGAGCGTGATGCTTCCATCTCATTGTTAGGCAATATGTTAATCATGATTTTAATGGAGAAGAAATACAAAGGACTGAGTCCCTTTCAGCACTGCTCAGTCTCTTAATACATTGGATAAATTATACCATAGACACTCACATGAAGATATATTGGCTATTGTACTCGGTAGTTTTTACCGAAAATGTTTACAATATAATAATAGTTTTAGATTTTTTCCCCCCAGCATATTTGTTTAGGCAATTGTTTCTTACCAACAGTTCAAATTCCTACAAAAAATAAGAGGGGGTTTTATCACAATAGAAATGTACACACAGAAGATAGAATGCTCACTATGAAACATCTTTATGAGCTTCACATTTAAAATTCAACATGGTGCTAATTATATGAATAGCAGGAGCAATTCATGGTCACAGTTTGGAGAGGTTACTAGTGTGATGCAAGACTGAGCACATTTTCTGCTTAAGTATGTATCTTTAATAGTCCTCATCACAGATTGAAAGCAGAAGGAAACTTTCTTAGAAACTGAGCAATAATATACTGTTGTATTCCAAAGTACTGTTTTCAGATTGTGTTTAAAATTTAAAATTTAAATAGAAAAGATTTAAGTCTCTGTACCCAGACCATTTTTTTCACCAAGGTGATTTCCATGCCATTTACCCCATGAGTAAATTAGCTAAGGGTTGTACTGTACTTAATCCTATTATGTTAACCAAAAAATGTCTCACTGGCTAGGACCCTATTTCTAGTCTTAAGTAAAAATAGAGCCTTTGCATCAATTGCTGAATGATAAAACACTTTTGTAAATCCAATTAAGTCAATGCACCTACACTGGATAAGACTAGCAATAGGATACTGGCAGGGTTTTATTTCCCAGATGTGAAACTACATGGTCTGCTGCTATGCTTACTCAGAAGTAAGCTGGGGAAATAGGAAAAATCTAATATGAGTTTTGCTACTTTAAACTTATATGTCATTTACAGCCTGCTGCTCTGTTACATTCTTTGGATTAGAGCCATGGTTCCCAAACTTGGATCCCTGGATATTCTTGGACTACAACTCCCAGAAATCCTGGTCAGCACAATTAGTGGTGACAGCTTCTGGGAACTGCACTCTGAGAACACCTGGCTTACTCAAGCTTGGGAACCACTGGATTAGAGCGTTGGATAGGGAAGAATGAAACCTTATTTATTTATTTATATTTGAACATTAAACCTATCCTGTGGACAAAAAAAGGCAAGACTTGCAAGTGACGTTGTCCAGTCAAAAATGCATATAAAACCCGTACGTTATGAAAAAAAAGATCCATGGAAAAGTGAGTATTGAAGAAGAAAAAAACAGTATTAAAAGATTGCTTTTGAAAGATGTGGACATTTGCCAGAATCGCATGTAAAAGTTGTGTACTGGAAGAAGCAATGATCCAAAACGCACCTAAGGGCTGCATTTTGTCTGCAGTGGTGCCCCCGAGGCAGGATTGTATAGCAGGTGCTATCTCAGCGGCACTCCATCCTCCCAGGGCTCTCTGCACTGCAGAGCCAATCCGACCCTGAAGTTTTTAATTGAGCCAATTAGAATAGCTGACAGGATGGGAGCATTTTCCCATGTGGACCGGACATCCTGAGATGTCGTGTCCAGCTGTTCGGAGAGGGTGGAATTTAAAAACCTTTGCTGGCCACATGGAGCTCTCTTTGTCTCCTGTAGCCTCTCCCTCCCAGTCTGTGTTTTTTGGGAACCTTTCTTGAAAGTGCTGTTATTAAGTGGGGACCTGGACTTATGGAGTTAGTCAATAAAGAGGTGGAGTATATCTTTTAGATTCATGTCACTGCTGGGGGTGTCTTGGAAGCATGAGAATAGATGCAGATGGTGTGGTAGGGCACTGTGGGGGATGGGATGCTCTCCATGGTTGACTCCCCTTATGGGGTGGGGAGGTATGTATACACCCAAGTTGGAGGCTCCTGCATGACCTTGCTCTCTGAGGTACAGGCAGGGCCACACAGTGGCCTACATCCGTGGGGTTAACCCTGTGTCTCCCTGGTTTGCCTCAGACACCAGGTGGGTTGGCTGATGAGAATCCATTCCCTATGCTAGTACCAGGGGCTAGTGGCAGCAGTAAGCAATAAGATGGTGGCCAAAATTTTCACCAGAACAGCTTCTCTGTGTTTGGATATTTGAGCTCCAGCCCAAGACCACCTTCAGTCTTCCTGACAAACAAGATGAACATATATAAAAATCTGAACTTCAGAGAGAGAGAGAGAGAGATCAAAATTTCGGTCCAATAAAACTTAATAAAAGTTCTCAAAATTAAGGAAAACTGGGAACTTAGAATTGGGAAATAAAAATTTGATGCTGTTGTATACAAGAATTCCCTTATGCTTTATCCTGTGCAGTTAAGCACAGCAGCTATTGTAGCAGCTCAAAGGTAAACCTCTGCTCTTGGCCCCTTTGGTTTTGCCAGTTTCAGAAGTTCCCTCACTGCTCCCCTTAGCTGGTCCTGCAAGAGAGCCTGAGGACTAGTCCTTTAATTCTGTTTTATACTGGAAGTAATTTGTGTTCTTTTTGAAATGGAAAACTCTGTCAGACCAATAACAAGATGGAAGACTTCCCTGAATCATCTATAAGACCTCCTTATT